TGCGCTCGGACGAAATGGCACGAAGGGTTTGGGGGGCCTCCGTCCCCCTAGAAAATTTAGATTTTTGCAGGTCTTAGATGCTGTCTGGTTCTCTAGACTGAATTATAAGATGAACCACCACAATATTGTATTGTACAATTTCAATTTTATTCTTCATTTCACTTGTTTGTTTGTTCTTGTTTGTGTTTGCTCGCTTGCATGCCCTGCATAGCTATAAGAAACACTTAAGTTGTTGGTCAAGACACTTTCCATCTGATGAAGGCAAATGCCTTCCCAGATGTAAAAAAGTAGAAAACATTACATTCAGTTATTAATGCCAAAACAAACATTATTTACACTATTATGGCCCCTGTTAAAAATGTTTGTAATGTTATCTACTGTAAGTTGGTCGAACGAATGCCTCCTCATCCGGAAGCTGACCGAGCAGACCCGAGCAGCAGTCGAGAGGAGCCGAGCGCATCCGCCAAGCACACAAAATGGCGACGTCATAGTTCCCATTAGCCGGCAAATCTAAATGTCCGGTCAAAATAATTTCCCTTTAGCGCAATACCGCTTCAGTTGCGCAATTTATGTGACAGACAAGAAGAGTATGTGACAGACGAGAATAGTCAATTCTAATGTCTAACACGTAATGTGGAGAAAGAGATGTCCTGTGTGGGTTGATTGTGCGTTGATCTGTTGGTAATGCCTCGGGGTTCCGGTGGGCATGTAAACAAATACATAATGCTGCGCTATACTTTGTGGCCTCACCCAGTTGCATAGCGACACTTATTGTGTAGGTGTCTTTTAATAAACAGGTAGTCATATCATTAGCTAGAACTAGCTGGATCTGATCGATATGGACATAAACACGAGTGAAGTCTAATCTGACGGGAGAGAGAGATCAGCTGAGCAGGCTGACGAGTGGACACGCAGCTCTGCATGATCACATGCAGCGGTGAGCGGACAAAACACACACTTCAGGTTAGAATATCACACGTAGCTATTTTAATGACCTCTCAAACTACCTGAACTAGTTATAGATATGTTTAGTTTCACTGTCGGGTCACTCATTACTGGATCCGCAAGCTGCATGATACTGGCACAATAGATTGCCCGATCGGGCAACCAGCAGGTGAGGCTTCATTGCCCGAGCTAAATACTAGATGGCCCCGGGCCATCGGGCAGTCCTTAATGTCGAGCCCTGCTTTATTAAATCAAGTTTTAAAACATGACTATTTTATTTCAACAGGACCCAAAAACACAAGGGGTATAAAATGGTAAATACATACTGTGATTGAACACAAAAACACCATCTATTATTGACCTTTATAGCAAATTCAAAACATTATAAATGATACAAAACACCACCTTTTAGTATTAGACAGAAAATAGGTGATGAGACATTCTATTTTTTTAGATTAGGCCACTGTGGTGAGAGTAATACATACAGTATAGCTTGTATTCCATTTGTTTTGAAAATATATATTTATACTTTATAAACAAACTGGTTACTACGGAGCCCCCTAGGGGACATGGAGAAGAAAAAAAAATTCTTTGAAAAAAATAATAATAATAATGTTTTGCGAGATATCGCAAAACCCCTTTGCGAGATCTCGCAATACTTTTGCGAGATCTCGCAAAACCCCGTTGCAGTTTGTAGACGGTCCCTAAGCACTCCTCTGATTGATTGATTGATTGATTGAAAAGTTTATTAACAGCTTGTATATTGGGTACAGTACAGTACAGCTCAAAACATACAATTGTTAAGGGGATGGAGACCAGAGAAAGACTTTCGTCTTGTTTACATCAGGGTCCCCCATTTCCAATTCATCATATCATTTAAGACATATAGGACATCTCCCTCCTCCAGCTGCGGATTGTGACAAATTATTGATGTTTAGCTCGGATGACGGCGCGTATCGAACTGTTCTGATAAAAACGACTCTGTAGCTCGTTGTCTACCTTGCTATGATTGTAAAGTCATGTTGTTTGTATTTTTACAACGTTATGTTCATGAGTTATTGATCCACGAAATTCGAATCTGTCAATAACTCAGCTCAGAGGAACGTGCATGTCCCCTCGCTCTGAGTGTTTTCTTGAGGTGTCTTCACTTATGTGAAACCCTTTATATATACAGTCTATGTGTGAAACCCGTGCCTATTTTGCGAGATCTCACAAAAGTATTGCGATATCTAGCAAAACATTTTTTTTTTTTTTCTGTTCAAATTATTATTTTTTTTCTTCTCCATGTCCCCTAGGGGGCTCCGTAGGTTACCCTTTTTTAAATTAGCATACAGAACATTATGAAAACAAACTTGACTAATGGTCGGCTCATAACCTCAGAAAACAGAAGAGGAAAAACTGCATAGATTCTCGTTTCATTTTGAAGGAGCTGCAGACCTAAAGTGTGTAGAAGACTTAAATGATTAAAAAGGTCACAATCATATTAATAAAACTGTACTTAGGTTTTAGTTTCACTTTTACAAAACAGAGTTCCACACTCTTTCTAGCATGTATGGTCATCTCCTCACTAGCCCTATGCTGCTGCTCCCCTGCCAGCTCTGTCTCTCCTTTACTCATCTTCTTCTTAAAAATAAGAAGAGATGTCTGTTGACTTTTCTTCATTTTCTGCAAATTGACATTACACACAGCAGTGATTAATAGTAGCCTACGCATTACACTAGCCCAGCATACCGACATCAGCTAACGTTAGCTTAGCAAGCTAAACTAAGGCTAACTAGGATAGCCGCCAAAGTGTGTTTACAGACGAATTATACCTGAAGCCAAGCCAGCCTTTACTGAGCCCCGAGCCTGTTTTCCATGTCTTCCAGCATTTTTCTCGTTTTAATGCCATTGAACACACATTTTGATCAGAATAACAGCTAAATGTGAGCATATCTCCGTGTTTTGCTACCTAAAGCTAACACACTAAAGCCTAAAGTGTTGTGGGGCTTAACAGGCAACACACGTATACGGCTTACCTTCTAGAAGTCTGGTGGATTTTTGTCAAGTCAGTAGAAAAGTCAGTAGAAAGAAACGTTTTGCTGCAACCTGCTGCTGTCTGTGCGAATCTCAGAGTGGTGCGTACAAGTATCAGAGTGGTGCGCGCGAGTATCAGAGTGGTGCGCAGAGTATCAGAGTGTTACCATGGTAGCAGAGGGAGAGGGGCTGCAGTATGAGCGTTGGAAGCTCAAATCAAGCGACTCGCTGGCTGTGTATTTGTTGTTAAATATCAGATAAACTACTACGCATACGTGACTGGCGAGGCGGTTCGTGTGGTGGGGGGGCCAACAAATATATCAGGGTGGCCATGGCCCCCCCTGGCTGGCGCCACTGGCCTCAGATGGTTTGAGGCCTAATATCATATTTAGACTTTTTTTTTTTTTTTTTCATATAATTGTTACACAATACATTATTGTACAATAAACGCATACAAAATAGTTGATTAATTAATTTTAATAACAATTCAAGTTAGTAGCTAATAAAGGCATAAAAAGACAGAAATGCATAATTGTTTCTATAATAAATAATAATAATATAATATAATATAGAAATGTTTCTTCTGCGCATAAGGTGTCCAAACCGGGCTTGTCTGGATAAGCGCATTTTTAAAACATAGTCATTGTCCATGCTGGTTTCAGTTGGATTATTTGTCACAGTTGCTCCGATCAGATCGGTCTCCTCCATTTTGTAGATTATTTACGACTTTTGAATCCACATAAACACATCGGCAAAATCCGGTTTACTTTGAGCATGTGTTTTATACAGTTTAATCCATTTGTGAATTGTTTCCACTTGTGCCGTCCTTTAATTTCTTCATACAGCGGGCATCCAAATTAATTAATCCTGAGTCCAATAACTATCAAAGTCACTCCAATAGTGCTCCTTAATTACGCTTCCATCCTCCTTTAACAAAATACTTCACATTCATCCAGTTTGTGACAGTAGTTGTAGCATTTTGAGACTTTTAGCCCTTTATAGGGCACTCATTGAAATTCTAAATGTCAACCCTAGAGTGTTATTGGAGGACATAACAATACTGTTTTACTTTTGTGAAATTTTCCAAAATATTTCATTTTCATATAAAAATCAAGGTCAATGAAGTGATCATATATGGTTCCTTGCCCGTTTGTGGTAAAAAAAATGTTTTATAAGAAATATGACAGAAATACATATAGGGTGAAAGGAACATTTATTTTAGAACATAACATAGGCACTTAAATACAATATAAATAGAGTGTAGAGTCATTTATGTGGGGTATGAAATATAATATAATATATGTAAACGTTTTAGTGCAAGGGTATGAAATAAATATTTGTAATGTAAACGTTTTAGTGCAAGGGTATGAAATAAATATTTGAAATTAAACATTTTAATGCAAGGGTATGAAATAAATATTTGTAATGTAAACGTTTTAGTGCAAGGGTATGAAATAAATATTTGTAATGTAAACGTTTTAGTGCAAGGGTATGAAATAAATATTTGTAATGTAAACGTTTTAGTGCAAGGGTATGAAATATGTGTGTATATAATGTATTTAACATTTATTATTATTTTATGTATTTATTTAATATGTAGTATACATGTTGACCTGCCCAGGGACTGCAGATGGAAATTAGCAAACTGCTATAATCTGTTCCTTTTTAACATGGTCCCTGAAAACTAAGCTAACTAACAAAACATACATCAAATGAGAAATTAGTCAAATTCCTCATGGTAACTGACAAAACAGTTACGCTCCGCATTCATGTGGACCAAGGTGGACCTTGCAGACCCGGCAGACCACATTTGACCTTACAATGTTGCCTTTCCTGCTGCAGTACTTGCAGGTCAGGCAATTGGCATGTACAGGGGCATGGAAGAGGGAGGGATCAAACCGCACAGCCACATTTGGGGTGTGGCTGCGGTGTCCACGGACAGGCTGGGGGTCAGCAACGGTCACGCTCTCAACCAATGAAGATGACCTTCTTCGGGAGCTAGACTTGACTGGCCTCTGGTTGCTGGCAGCCCTGAACACCTAAATTCTGAAGCTTTTCAGAGGCACGCCATTCACACCAAGGGCCTTGCAGTCCCGCCTGTACATGATCCAGGCATTTGTGAGGCTGACATCAATGGCGTATGCAAACATACGCATGTACCACCTCTTGGACTTCATGGGGGTGCGGTAGAGGTGGACCAACATGTCACTCTTGTCAATGCCCCCCATGTTGGCATTGTAGGTCCGGATAACAGCTGGACAGCTCACCGGCTCCTTCGTCTTCGTCTCACTGCAGTACCTGATGACTGAGGACATAGGCTCCACCCCCATGTCTGTTGACAGCAGAGATACCATTCTGTTGTCCTTCCACCTGACAGCCAGGATCCCATCATCACTCATGATGTAGTCACATGTTCCACGAGAGACAGCCTTTTTCTCCATTTCCTTGATGGACTTAAGCGGGGGCTTTCCAATTCTATTGTCCCTGGCTGTCCCTGTATACCTGCAGTTCTGGTCTCGGAGGTACCGCACTAGCTCCAGGCTGGTGAAAAAGTTATCCGCAAAGATGGCTGTGGTGCTGGGGGAGGACATGGTACTTGCCAAGACAGAGACAATCTGGCTGGTGGCACCCATGGCTTGTTGTTCAGGTGTCAGGGGGACACTGTGGGCCTCCAGAGTAGTCTTCCCCTGGTACAGCACCATGTCGTGGATGAAGCCATCCACAGAGGCCCTGGAAAACAATTTAAAACCCCACTTGTCTGGCTTGGTCTTTATATACTGCCTCAGGTTGCCAGCTGTCTTCCCTTTGTAGGCAACCATCACCTCATCCACAGACTGTTTGGGGGTCTGCGGCTCACGCCTGAAGGCAGAATTGAGGAAGATGAACAGTGGCCGGATTTTGAAGAAGCGGTCAATGGAACCAGGGAGCTCAGTGTTGTCATTGAAATGGACAACCCTTTTCAGCAGCCTGAACCTCTTTGAGGACATCAGGTTGGCAACTTGAGGGACTCTGGTCTCCATGGCCCAGTAATCTTCAACAGCTGGGAGCTCTGAAATCCCCATATACATCAGGATGGACAGAAATGTCATTATCTCATTCTCATTGGTGGTGAAAGTGGTGTTAATGTCCGTAAAATTAGTTTGGTAGGTGATATGAGTGACAATTTCGGGGCCAAAGTACCTTGTGAAGTACTGAAAAGGGGTTTCAATGTAGTCAGGGGGAGAGTGCTGGTATTCCGGCAGTTCTGTGTTTTCCAGGTCAGCTTTGTGCCAGGTGGTTGGCCTTGCTGCTGACTTCCTGGGTTTGGTGGGCCTCTTGGCTTGTAGTGCTGGCTGCTCGTTGTTACCATCGTCGTCGTCGTCGTCGTCGTCATCGTCGTCATCGACCTGGAGCACTGCAGGCTGCATGCACCTCCTCTTGGCAGAGGGGCCCATGTCACTTGGGCCTGGAATGTCCAGATTGTGGGTGGGTGGGGCAAAGTCAGGGTCTTCCACATCGTAATCTTCCTCCTCGTCATCGTCACTGATGGCAAGGTGTGCTGGCACAATGACAATATCCTTTCACTTGGAATAAAACATCCGAGTAGACAGTTGCTAAAAATTAAACACATGCAAAAAAACATAAAACAACTGTTATAAGGTCATAACACTGACAAAATAGATAAAATAGAATATCATATTCACTATGTATATCTTGAAAATGTCTAGAAATTGGTTAAACTTTTCACTGAATCACTGTATAGTGTTATACAAACATTTGGCAACATTATAATATAAAATCCTAAGTTGTATTGCCTTATTTGTTATTAAAATTACATTACATTACATTGCATTTAGCTGACGCTTTTATCCAAAGTGACTTACAATAAGTGCGTTCGACCAACAAAATACAAACTTGAAGAAAACAGAATCATATAAGTACATCAGGTTTCATAGAGCCAAACATTTCAAGTGCTACTCAACTGGCTTTAGATAAGCCAGTCCTTTATTAGTATAAAAGTGCTTCGTTAATAGTTCTATCGCTCGAAGTGGAGTCGAAAGAGATGAGTTTTCAGTTTGCGCCGGAAGATGTGCAAGCTATCTGCCGTCCTGATGTCAATGGGGAGCTCATTCCACCATCCTGGAGCCAGGACAGCAAACCCACGTGTTTTCGCCGATGGGAACTTGGGTCCCCCTCGCAGCAAGGGTGCAGCGAGTCGTTTGGCTGATGCAGAGCGTAGTGCACGTGCTGGGGTGTACGGTTTAACCATGTCCTAAAATGCGCTATGTATGGCTTACGCATCAGGTAGACAGTTGCTAAAAATTAAAGACATGCAAAAAAACTAAAACAACTGCTATGAGGTCATAAAACTGACAAAATAGATAAAATAGAATATCATATTCACTATTTATGGCTTGAACATTTCTAGAAATTGGTTAAACTTTTCACTGAATCACTGTATAGTGTTATACAAACCTTTGGCAACATTATAATATAAAATCCTAAATTGTATTGCCTTATTTGTTATTAAAATATACTATGTATCGCTTACTAGACGGATCGGGCATATGTCCAAATATGGGCATATCATACTAACTCCAGTGTTTACCTGAAAGGGGCGTAGGCCTATGATCAAATATGGTGCCCAAACTTTTCATGCCGTAATTTCACTAATTTCACTAATTTCACTCACTTTTCTGCTAACAACACAAATTTCCTAACCTAGCACCACTATTCAATCATACAATGTGTGAGTTTCGTCAATTTACCATGGTTAGTTTTGTTGTTTCACAGAATTCCGTGAATGAACGGAGCCGCAAAATTGCCTTTTTCCGGATTCCGAGAAAACCGGAAGTTTGAAACGTTTCAGGCCTCTGCTGATTGGTCAAATTCCCCAATGGCGGGCTTTGTGGCGTAGAGTTATCTTCGCTGATTGGCTGGGAGAAATCCATATGCTCCTCGACCTCACTTAGTCGCAGCAGTGACGCCATGTTTGGTGTGTGCGGAAGTGATCAAATATGGTCCCTCGCCCCATAAAGGACTTGAATTACCGCTCTTGCCTTGTCTGTTCCCCCCCCCCTTGTGTGTGTGTGTGTGTGGGGGGGGGGGACGCAACTTCCAACAGGAGTAATTTGGGGGGGCTCTCTGGGAAAAAGGTTGGGAACCCCTGATCTAGAAAATTCGAACGGCATTTATCATGGCTGCCACTGAGGGACTTCCGGGTCATTTCACTCCGTTAGGAAGGTTCCTAAGCTAAATGAACTGTTCGACTTCAGCCCAGGTTGGCATATTACACTGTACAACTAGCAAACGTAGGTTAGCATATTAATCTAGCTGGCAAGCTAACGAACCTAAAACAACAAAGTTTCTCTAATATTTTGTGATTTGCATTTGATTTCGTCAGGAACTCCTGGCGTATCCGGCGGACAACACATGACGGGATGACCACTCTGATGCCACGTCCTAAAAAGCCCCAGCACACAAAGCTGCCGAAAACGCCTATAAGGGGAGGAATGGATGATATACAGTGTATATATGTATATTTACACATGTTCATTTTGTACATTTCTAAAAATAATGATGGAAATACTTAGTAGCCTTTCTTCCCTGAATGATTTGCTCCTATAACATATCATTCATATCAAACCATTATTTGATTTTTCATCAAACACAGTAGTGTTACTTACTCTTCTTCCGTTCTATGCCTCAAAGGTCCATAATCGAATCTGTAAATGTTATGGAGGTTCTGCAGGGTGTATGGGTTGAGACAGTTTGGCTCTAGTCCTGGGTGGTGTACCATGCACATAATAGGTGCTGGGACTTGGTTCATTCGTGTTACAACCTATAGGAAGGTAAGATATTTGTAACATAACACGTTTAGCAATTAAACCAACAATGGCGAGGTTTACAAAATACACATTCAATTACTAAGGAAGAAATAAAAGGGCATATAGTCTATTGACTTGACAAATATGTGTATGTGTTGTGGAAATATTTTCCAAGGCCCATAACTTTGACCCAGTGTATCAGTTCAAACTGTCCTGACTGAGCACAGGCACCTGTAACCTTGGCTGCTGTGCTCTCAGTGTTTTGTCTCCCTGTTCCTGCCTGTTGGCGTCAGCTGATAGAGGTGTTATCATTCTATCTTGTTATGCAGCATGTTGATGATGCTCTCTGAACTAGCTAAATACAGGGGTCTGGGGTAGAGTTCTTCAGAATTGACGTGGCAACTCTACCGTGAAGTCAGAACCTCTGACTCTTGGACTTGTGATGTGAATCCTCCGGCCGTTAACTCCAAATAAACCATCATGTGTTTGACATCAAAGCTACTGCTCTTCCCGTGTCTCCTTCCTGAGTCGGTGACTCCCACTGCATAGCTACACAGAAGTTTCCTCTACAGTATGGTGTATATCTTGGCATATAATGTTGTGTGCTACTGTTGGTGTTTTCAGCTAGCTGGCTACATAACTTTGTAACTGTCAGCTAGGCTACCTTTCGAGAGGATGGAGGATGTTCTGAGACAGAACACAACAGAGCTGGGAGATCTTCGGACAAAGGCACTGGACACAAAGTTCAACCAGGAGTCCTTTGAGAACAACGAAGAGAAGACAAAGTTTTACACCGGACTCCCCAACTTCTTAGTTTTACTTCAGGTTTTTCAACTGTGCGAGCCCTACATCACCTATGGCCCTATGTCTGTGCCCTCCAAATTTGAACAGTTAATTTTAGTTTTGCTGAGGCTGAGACTAAATCTCCCTCTGAAATATTTGGCTTTCAGGTTCACCATCTCTCTCTCCACTGCTTCTAGAATTTGGCATAAGTTAATTGACATACTTCATGAGAGTACAGCATTTATAATTGAGTGGCCAGAGCGACATGTACTTCAAGCTACAATGCCAATGGGATTCAGACAGGCATTTGGATGTAGAGTTGCTGTGATTGTTGACTGTTTTGAAGTTTTTATTGAGAGGCCCTCTAATTTACTAGCTCGAGCACAAACATGGTCCAACTACAAGCATCACCATACTGTTACATTTCTGATTGGTGTTGCTCCCCAAGGCTATGTCACTTACATATCTTGTGCCTGGGGAGGAAGAGTTAGTGATAAACAGATCACAATACAGAGTGGGCTCCTAAAAAACCTGTTACCTGGAGATATTGTCCTAGCAGACTGTGGGTTCGATATTGGTGATAGTGTGGGATTTTACTGTGCTTCACTAAAGATGCCTGCATTCACCAGGGAGAAAAGTCAGCTGTCAGCATACGAGGTGGAAGAGACAAGAAAAATAGCTAATGTGCGTATTCATGTCGAAAGAGTCATAGGATTAGTCAGAAGAAAATATCAGATTCTGCAAAGCAGGGCTGTGCCCATAGAGCACATGCTAACAAAACCAGGTGAGGCACTAGCATTAATTGACAAGATTGGGGTTATTTGATGTGCCTTGTCTAATCTGTCAGTGTCTGTCGTCCCATTGGAGTAAAGTCATGGAGCTGTAGTCTTGTAAAAAAGAAACCATGTATTATTCAGTGTTATTTAATCTTTTCAGTAAACATATTTTTGTGTTCAAACATCTTGTGTTCAAGTCTTTTCGGTAAACATCTTTTTGTGTGTTGTAAATTGTGTAGCCCCACTCAATATACAACTTTCATCTACATTCAGGCTTAATTCATTCAACAATATTCTAGAGATGACAATTGGTCTGGTGACGCTCCCATGTATGGCCATTGAGGTTATTGTAAATGTAAATAAGAAACCATGTATTATTCAGTCTTAGTATCATTTAATCTTTTCAGTAAACATATTTTTTACAATAGCAATATATCACACAGCCCTACTTCCTCTAGTCACTAGAGGAAGTAGGGCTGTGTGACTAGAGTCTAGTGAGTGTGGTCAGTGAATATGAAGGTGCTGTAATGCAGGTTAAAGAGCTGCCACTGTGCAAATAATAATGCAACAAGGAGAGAACCACAACTTCCGGGACCAGGACAGACCACAGGTGCTGGTAATCACGCCTTCTCTCCCTCCTGATCATCTTGCAACTGAAACTGAAAAATGGAACAGCAGACAGGGAGAGGAGGCTTTTAGTCACCTGATAGTTATGCACTATCATGTTCTTGTGGAAAAAAATGAGCACAATATCGTTAACAATATCGTAAGGAAACACACATCATAAGCACCCGAGTTAACCTCTGTTAACAATATCATAAGGACACACACATAAGCACCAATAACACACAAACATTCTGAGGTATGGTAGCATGGCGTCCTAGCACAGATCCAGCGCCCTGAATGTCAACAACGTTGCAGAGGCGTCGGACCTCTTCCGGTGGTAGGACCTATGGTAGGAACGAAACAACGTCGCCGACGTGGTAACCATAGTACCTACATGTAATCATAACACACATACACATATATATATATATATATATACACACACAGAACACTCACAGGCCAGTTAATGCTGAAGGCAAGGCGACAGCCGTAACACTGCCTTACATGAGTCCATGTAGCTAAAGTTAGCTAGCTAGATGTCTCCTAATAATGCTACTTAGAGGTAAGAAGGTATAGGTCAGGGATCACCAACTACATTTGTCCAAGGGCCAAAATGTATCCAATAGACACAATCGCGGGCCAGCGATTTTCATATAGTCCACAATGCTAGTGGAGCACGCTCAGCTACTGCGGACCTTTAATTTATTATCTGAAACGATGTAATAACTTTTAAAAAACTTGTTCCAGTCACTTGCCCCATGCATTCAGCAGCAGCAGGCCATTCACTTTGATTTGATCGTTATGAAATGTCATACAAGCGGCCGAGATGGGTTTTCTCCGCAGGGTGGCTGGTGTCTCCCTTAGGGATAAGGTGAGAAGTTCGGTCATCAGGGAGGGACTCGGAGTTGAGCCGCTCCTCCTTCGCGTCGAAAGGAGCCAGTTGAGGTGGTTCGGGCACCTAGTTAGGATGCCACCTGGGCGCCTCCCTAGGGAGGTGTTCCAGGCACGTCCAGCTGGGAAGAGACCAAGGGGTAGACCTAGGACCAGGTGGAGGGATTATATCTCTTCGCTGGCCTGGGAGCGCCTTGGGATCCCCCAGTCAGAGCTGGTTGATGTCGCCAGGGAAAATAAAGTTTGGGGCTCTCTGCTGGAACTGCTACCCCCGCGACCCGACCACGGATAAGCGGAAGAAGATGGATGGATGGATGGAAATGTCATAATTTCGACAATAAATAAATGCTACATAAACGTTATCTTGCACATTTTATCCAACCATCTCCGTTTCTAACTTTCAATATATTTTAAAAGAGATCTCTCTCTCATCTGCGTGCGGGGGCGGGGCCTCACAGACACGCTGCATCTCTCTCTCGCTCACAGACATGCTGCAGCGCTGTGCAGTGTGCACACAGATCTGCCGGTAATGAATATTACATTTTGTGAGGAAACTTTTCCACCAATAATTCCAATAAGTATTCCAAAATGTATTCACTTCAGGCTTACGAAAGTAACTTTAATCAGATTACTCGTTTTTCAAATGTAACACCAGCTGAATACAGTTAGCCTACTTGATTTTTATATTCTGCGTAACGCCGTTACATGTATTCCGTTACAACCAGTCTATGGTTACAACTAGGGGTGCACCGAATGGGAAATTCTTGGCCCAAACCGATACCGAAAATAGGAAACAGTTGGCCGAAAACCGAATGCCGAAAGGCCGAAAATGATTAATAGAAATATATATATATAATGTTGTGGTGACACGTTATTGGACATAATTCACCTTGCTTATTGTGTTGCCACACGGACCCTTTAGTGGGGAACACCTGTAGCTTTAGCTGCCATTCCTGCTAGCTCATCAGGCAGAGCAGTGCATGTGTTAACCTCTCTGAATGTAATGGATAATAAAGATTGGAACTCCATTCTTAATACATCGCCTCCGACTCTCTTTTCACGGCACTACACTGGTGACCCCGACTTTTCCGAGAAAGTTTCCGGAAA